TATATTTCCCCTTTTTCAAGGGAAACATCTTAAATGTTTTCCTGTTATCTTCCAGTTTTTAGGAAAGTGCAGTGGGAATTGGATTTTGTACTTAGGCTAATGAACTCTTAACAGTTTCATGGAGAATATGGTATTGTGTGGTAGGATAAAAATCTAAGTGGGTCAAAGTGAAAGGAAAATCTGTCAAGGAGCTCTGTGTGCAGTATATCTCATTTTCCAGTGGCCAATAATAACTTCATTGTTACCCTTCTGTAGATGCACTTCCAATGCATAACTTTACAAAGTCAGCTATTTATTTATTTATTTATTTATTTATTTATTTATTTACACTAGGGATTGAACTCAGGACCTTGTGCTTGCCAGGCAGGCACTTAAGCTACTGAGCTATCTCCCAGGCCCTCGAAGTCAGCTATTTAGCCAGCTAAATATAACCAGAGGCTGGGGGTTCAATCTCTGGCCTGTCATGCCAGCTCTACCCTGGGGGTGCCCTAAGAGGGTGATAGAGACTGGGTGTGGTGGTGCATACTTGTAAACCCAGTGCTTGGGAAGCTGAAAAATAGGAGGATCACTACAAGTCCAATCTGTGTAGTGAGACCCTGATATATATATCTCCAACTCTCTGTATGAGAAGATGATTTAGGAGCAAAATTTAAAAAGTCAAAAACCATCCGTGATGTGATTACCACTTTGAGATTCAGACCGACCCTTTTAGGGTTTTATAGTCCTAAGAGTCACCCAATGTTATAAAGTAAGATCTTAAAGACCATCTATTATAAATCCCTATGACATAAGAAAATGAATTAGAGGTTCAAAATCTTAGAGCTAAACTCCATAAAAATCAAACTGCTTCCTTAGTCCACATGCAAAAATAGAGCCAGTGATCATATATTTGTTTATTTCTACTCAGTAAGCCTCTGTGAGGGTTTAGTAGTGACAGAATAAGGACACTGAACTATTTGTTCCCATATTAACACAAGAATAATCAGAATCTATGTTCTACTTGGAAGAAAAAAAAAATCTTACCTTGATAAAATGAAGGTCATCTGACCAATCTGACAAGTACAATCTACAACCTATGAAAATGAGAAAAATGTCTAAGAACATTGTCCATCATTACAATAAATAAATACTAGATCTCACAACTCAATAGAAAAAAAAATTCTAAGAGCCTGTTTGCTTTTGTCAAACAATATCTGCTGTAAAATTTATGAAATGAAAAAAAATTTATGAAGTAGGTCAGGTGTAGTGGGACACACCTATAATACCAGCACTCTGGAGGCTGAGACAGGAAGATCGCTGCCAGTTTAAGGCCAGTCTAGGCTACATTATGAATTCAAGGTCAATGTGATCTACATAAAGGGACCTTGTCTCAAAAATAAAAATGCAAAAACCTCAAAAATAGGTAATATTCATGAAGTAGTATTAGTATTGAAAATGATAAAATTGTATCCATATTACTATATTCTAAAAAATACAATAAAAAACCACAGAGAGTTTTCAGGAAGTAGTTTAATATAAGAATTGAGGACCTATGCAAATTCTCTTAGGAGAAAGGCAATATGAAATTACAAGTTAATTCTCCATCTTTTAATAATAATTTAATTTAATCACTTTCTTTTTTATACCAGAAAAGTGTGGATGTGTCCAGACCCTGTGGATGGAATAAAATTCTGTGTATAACATGATCAGCAGAAAGTATAATAGGGCAAGGTTAATGTGACAGGGTAGGGTCAAATAAGCCTTTTGTATATAAAAGTGTTACATCTAACAAGCTAGAACATAAAATTCTCTACCTGTTAGTCTGGGTGTGGTGTACTGATAGTTTATGTTTAGTTTCTTTCTATAAGTCCCTGGGTCTGATTGCTAGCACTGCAAATCAAAAATTTCTTACTTCAGGGCCAGGGAGATGGCTCAGTGGATTAAGCGTTTCCCTGGCAAGCACAAGGGCCTGAGTTCAATCCCTGGTTCCGACAAAAAAATAAATAAATAAAAATAAAAAATCTTACTTCTATTAGACACTGAAAAAAAAACTTAAGGAGCAATTGTTTCCCACTAGGACTTTATGATAAAATTTTTTTTAATAAAACACCTTAAGGAACTTCCAGGGTGAAAACTAAGCTGTTTTAAGGTAGAAACCATATCATACTGAAGTGATTGCTAGAAATCAAGAAACATTAAGTGAAAAATTAATCAATAATCAAAGAATGGTCATTGATCTCTGAGAAATCTGTAACAGGAACTGTTAAATAATCTTAGGAAGATACTACTGACTTCAGAGAAATATGTAAAATTAGATTTTGGTTACCTCTCCTTGCTCGCTGCTAGCCTAGGCTACATTATGAGTTATTCTCTATTTTATTTTTTTGGTGGCTATCTTCTCATTAATTCTTTTTTTTCAAAATTTTATTGATAAACAGATAGCAATGAGACAGTTTCAAATCAAATTGGAAGTACAGTTTCAACAAATAACACACTGCATATATTCTTCTTAGTGGTTAATTGCTGTACAAGATGCGGACTTGAGATCCTATTTACAAACACCATTAGAACAAATCATTCTATTCATTAGAGAATGCAACTATATATCTATCCTAACCACTTTGAATACACAGATACAAAATGGACATTCGTCGGTATACCCCATTTGTTCTAAGTTCCGTTATTGAATATTACAGGTGTGTAAACTCAGCAAAATATTCTAAAAGTCCAGTAGCCCATAATAGCATTGGATGTTCTGTTTAACTGGCAATGTCAGAAATTATTGACCTGAGTCCCCCACAGCTCAACATAACAACATGGCTTTACTTCCTATATTTCGTCTTTATACTTTTCTACTGGATGGTTAAGACCAAGGTAAAGCAGGACCTGTGCAACAAGAGTTCTTCTCATTAATTCTTGTTCTTACCTGGATGACAATATGTCTTTGATAAAAAGCTGACTGATAGTAATAGTTTGTGACAGAAGTCTTATAAGGGTGTTTAAAAGAGAATTCAAAGATGAAAATATTTTGGGGGCTGAGGAGAAAGCTCAGTGGGATAAGCGCTTGCCTGATAAGCACAAGGTCCTGAGTTCGATCCCTTGTACAAAAAAATAAATAAAAAGATGAAAAGATTTTCAAGGTTTTTAGTACACAGCTATAATGGCAGAATAATAGGAATTGGGTTGATATATTGAGTTAGAGCTTGTAGCCCCAAACTTAGTTGCATGAGTTATAAAGATGTACAGTATATGTGATTGTATGCATAGAAAGCTAAATACTATATGGGAAAGGTATTCTTGTATCTCTACAATTTCTCCTTCAAGGATGAACTTACTCTTCTCAAAAATTCCTCCCTTTTGTTTCCATTCTTGACTCTGGTTTCATTAGAACAACTTCTTATCTTATTTTATTTATTTATTTATTTTTATTTAGTACAGGGTCTTACCACACAAATCAGACTCATAGTGATCCTCCTGTTTTAGGCCTCCTAAGTGCTGGGATTACAGGTATGTGCCACCACGCCCAGTTTTAACTGCCTTCTCAGTGCCCCCCTGGAACAGGGCTGGCACGGTATGCCAGAGATCAAACCCCAGCCACTGTGCTCTGCCTAAGCAGGTGCTTTAGTCTGCTGAGCTGCAACTTCTTATTTTATGCCTGTAATCCCAGCACTCCAGAAGTCAGACAGGAAAACTGCTAATTCAAGCCCTACACGAGCAACTTATTTAGCAAGACCTTGCCTCAAAATGTTAAAAATATATATAAAAGGGCTGGGGTTGGGCCGGGGAGATGGCTCAGTGGAATAAGCACTTCCCTGGCAAGCGCAAGGGCCTGAGTTCAATCCCCGGTACC